TTAATACAAACTTGTTTGTTTAAGGTGGCAGAACATCTAATTAGAACTCTTTTTATGTCGCCTAAAATATGGCATGTGAATGCCTGAGGAATTTACATCAAAAAGGGCATCAACGATACCCGAGACACTGACATGTTGTATTATATGTGTTACAACTGTCATCCTCTAGACTGATCATTAACCTACGGTATCGTTAATGCCTCTTCTGTGCATGAAAATACCTTAGCCATTGACATGTTGTTAAAAATCGGAACATCAAACCTACCCAATACACAATATTAAATGAGTAAACCAATTGTACATTAGTTTCAGAGGACTATTTGTGGTTTTATATGTTTATTGCTTGACGCGTCTGCATAAGTGTAATTGTATTAGTGTACCAGCGTTTCAGACACAATTTCTTTGTCAACCTGGAACAGCTACAACGAACAGAACTTTGCCAGACCTCTTGAATTCCTACAATGTACTGAACATTGTCAACAAGCTAGTTAATGATCACATACCATGTGCTTTCTGTCAGTATTGGCCTACATTCGTTGTGATGTAATCGAACGGTGTTAATCTAGATCCATTTCATTTTAAACCCATTTTTTTATTTAACTTTTTAAAGCGTTTCACAAATATCGTATAAAACTGCGATTGTATGCCGAGTAGCTCCTATCTAGTTGGTTATTGTTTGGTGAAGCCACAATAATGGGAATATATCACCCGTATTTATATGCATTACCCGAACGCTATCCTACAAATGTATGTCAATCCACCAATGAAGGTCTTATTTTGGGTGTCGTTGGGCTTCGGAAACTTATGTCAAAACCGGAAAACAAGCATTGTTTAGCTTCTCGGAAAAATACTGATCTTAAATCTAAATGGAAATCGCCAAACTGGAATCCTTACAAGGTATACATATATCATCCTGGAAGGGTAAAAGCTATGGCGGGATGTTGTGACACATCTGCTGATATAGATTGAAGACCTGTTCGAGGACGTTAGAATAGCACTGTTATGAAGGCCTACAGTGTCTGGAGGAGGCCCTACCGGGTACGGATGAAAGCTATGTAGAAAATCGAACGCGTGTATGATGTCTCGGGCAGACAGGCAGGGATCACAAGTAAACCACAGATAACGAACGTATCATAAAAGTGGACAGATATTGGAGGCGTGCATACACGTGGACATATAACTAAAGTCTACATTTACATACATTGATAAAACGGACGTGTTTATGCACGTGGACTAAAAACCCGACGCGCATATGTGTGTAATAGGAAAATTGTATTATTAATTGTTATAATAAATACATATCTCTGGTGGGTACGTGCAAAATCTTGTTTGATATGCTTTGTGATCACTTGTGCAATTTATGTTACCGTAATTAACTGTTGCAATGTAAATCTAACTTTCCTAGCATAACTCCTACAGTTTGATTTTTCATAAATGCCTAATGGTAGAAAACACGATTGTGTTATTTTAGATAAATACAAAAGGTTATTTTAAAGAGGTAAACTACACAAAAAAATGATAATGTCTTATAGCGCAATGTTTGGCGCGGTATTTGTAATTGTAACCTCTGATTGGTTGAAGTTTCTAAGCAATACAATTACTGCGCAATGTTTTGTTTTTTGTATAATTATATCGTTTTTGTCAGAAATGAATATATATGTTCATGACAAAATTGTTGCCAGACTTTTTAAATTAGATCAAAAGAATAGCCAGGACTTTTTTCGGGTTATACAGTAAGCATGAACAATATGCGTGAACTTGCATAATTATTTGTCGTAAATACAATATAACCCCGAGTAGTCCGAATTATTCCTTAAGTAGCAATGTACAACTATCGGAGTTGATATTGGTTGGGCGTGATCCTAGGGCAGTAGGGTACAGCTTTTATTTTTACCAAACGTGCTCACCAGTACCATTTACGTACCTTTTTATGTATTTTCAACATTTACAGTCAAAAAACAGAAACACAAGATAATAAGTATTATGCAATGGATTGATGTTAGGACAAGGTAGGTACGCATAGATTGTTTTCATTGCATCGCAGGTACACCTTATCGGAGTTTTAATAATCTTAATTTGTCCTAAATCTTAAATCGTACTCACTGACCGCTAGTCTGGTAACTGCCTCGCCGTCCGACCAGACACCTCAGATGATACCATCCCCATATATAGTCTGTCTGACCAGTACCCGCCCCTCCAATAATACAGCTCAGTCAATGGTCACACCAATATAATTGCTATGTATACGTTGTCTGATGGTTATATCACCGGCATGCGATGTCAATAATCAACGTATGAGTCAATTGTTTGACGATCTGGAGATAGAGTCCAGGACCTGCGTCGTTCGTTATTCTGTTAGTGGATGTTAACATAGAGCCAGTGTCTGTGTAGTGGTTTCTCAGGTCATTATATAGATCTCCACTCTGATATCAGATAATGTCATGCCTAATATATCATGTATTAATGTTGAGCAAATTCGGATTGGCCAACATTTGTCACTTGCCATGTTGGTGGCGGGTGTCTTTGTTTTCTTTTTTTGAATTATAGGAAATTAATCCCAAACCCCGTATTAGAAGTAATCGTTGCTATTGAGTGCGGGGCGGAGTGTCTAATTGTGGTAGGAAACCGGAGTACCTGGAGAAAACCCACGTGGTCGGGCAGGTGACCCTAACCTTTTCACGTCCGATCGGGGAATCGAACCCCGGCCGCCTTGGTGAAAGGCAAATGCGCTATCCTCTGCACAAACCGACCACAGAAATTGAAAGAAATATCACTTTCGACCTCCAAATTGTGTTAGTAGTGAATTATATATTGCTAAAAGCGAAGAGAAAAAGCGTTCAAGTCAGCGATTGTTTCATTCAAAAGTAGGGCTTAGGGCTTTTAAAACGGCGAAAACCCCCTCTATTTCTTCTCTAAATCTGCTTTATCTCACTGGATCTCTGCATGTATTACATATTGAAAGACATGCAATGACACACTCATCCGCGTTGGCTTTTATTCATAGATCCGAGCCTGCTTCGGAGCATGTTTGTCAGTGTAGCTTTGATTGGATGATGAAAAATAACAAGAAGCTGTTTTCAGTGTTTCCTATCAGAAAACATGACAATAAACAACCAAGAAAAATATATTTTACTGGGGGTACTTTCTTATAGTGAGGAACATACATAAACGTGATCTCAGTTTAGCAAATAATTGGTCGTTGAAACAATAAACCTGAGTGACTTTACTGAGTGCACCAACGAAATAATGAACTAGGATTATCTGTTTAATTGTTTGTAAAAGTTAGGGTATCATTATATGTGGAGTTATTGCCTAAGCGACGAGTTCTAGAGAGACAGCTGTATCGTGTTGTGCAATTCATTTTTGGCATACTGCATATATTAAATTGTACCAAATCTTAAAGGTACATCACCTGCGTGTGTAGTGTCCCATTCTGCTACATCTCCATCTATAATTTCCTCAACGTACTCAGCACTTTAATTTTCTCATTTGCAAGTGCAAGGAAACAAGCAACACGAGTTCACATTGACTTCACTTTGCCAGAACATCTTTGGTAAAATAAACGTTTGAAAACAATAAACATTGGAAACGAAGCATTATCGTAATGATTTAGAAAGAAGTAGAACACGGGGCAACATAATCCGCTGTTGGTAATAGAAGGACAGCTACAAAAAGATGATAAAATCGTGATTATTCCGCAAACATTCCCGGGCTAAGATTACATTAGAACCTGTCTGGGTTGACAGTTGGCCGGGACCTCCTCTGATACGTGTCATGTAGTGTACGTAGGCAAACTGTATTACGTGGGGTGCACGTATGGAGCTGTAACGACCAGCTCTATCTCAACATAGTCTGACTACCCTCCACAATCCGCCTTATTCGGGCAAGGTTATTAGATTTGAAGATATTGAACTTTGAAAGTTGTCTGGCAATAACAGACCTCATGAGTTCAATATAGCAATTTAGTCCCAAAAGAACAGTAATAAATGAGACATGTTTCTGCTCGCCACACTTTGCTATTTTGCCCGTTTCTAAGAAGTCCATCCCCCCTTATCAATGGTAAACCACTTGCACTGTCTAATGGACAAGGACAATCCACAGCCAGCTCTCATTCCTGACGCGTTTGTTTACGTACATAGCTTTTCCAAAAATAGTCATAACCTTTTTCCTTTCGCCGCTGAAACTCCAATAGAATTTAATCTTCATGATTGACTGCTAAATCTATGTCTTCTTCCGTACTAGGGTACAAATCATTTACGACATTTTAAAAACGATTATCATATGGTAAAACTAATATGGACCCCTTGTGGGTTTTCTCCTTTGCTGTCTTAACGGAGACATGAAAGAGAGCGAGTGGCCCGCTGCCGGTTGACAGGACTTGGGGTACAGATCTACTCTTTATCTGTATTCAATGTGTGTCCTGAGGTACATTTAGATCTGGTTAGTTCCTTGTCAAGATAACGTGACCGACTAAGTTGTCCGTGGCGGGAATAGTAATGCTCTGTGCCTAGATCTTGCCCAATTATCTGTTCTGGACAGCGTATTGTTAACGTCTACGTGTTCCCGTCAACTAATATCGTAATAAGGAACACGGTGTCCAGTGTTCACTGATCCTCTCTCGTTGTCACTAATGTGAAGAGGTTCAGCGAAAAACCCCAAATAAGCGTGAAATACGAAAAACGCTAATAGGGTCGTTTAAGACGGTAACAGGAATACATACGCTGTACACTAGTTCTGCATGTTGTAAGGTTGACTATTTCGAAATATGTTAATTATTTTTTATTCCGTCCATTTGCTTTATTTTTCTTCCTCATCACAACTGTTGCTACTATTTATCATGTTTTTATATTTTTTTTATATTTTGGTAAAAATTTACCCTTTAAGCAATGCAACAGTTATTTACAAAATGAAGCAAACGCCTTTTACCAAATAATTCTAAGTGATCATTTCAACTTCCGGTTACATCACATGGTCTAACAATTGTCTTCATTTGTTCACAGTGGCTGGCGACTCTGCATGTTCTCGAGCCAACAGGACGACGAACCCCCAGAACTGTTTGTTGCAAATATTGTCGCGGGCGGTGAACAAGGACTTGTTCTGGTTCGGCACTCCCTATCGCACCTTGTGTCCCACACCTGAAACCAATGTACTAGGCTGCGCAAATTCGTCCCCTGGCGTGGCGGACAGTATCGTCTCTCGGCTCTTCTACTCCGTTGGTATAGACGCCAACCTCGTTAAAAAGTACATCGACATCAATTTCACCTCTCCTGCTGGTAAGTAGGATATTGAATTATCATTGTCCAACTGCACTTTGGTTTTGCGTATATCATGAACCTCTCCATAACTGTAGCACTATTGTGTCAGGAGACGTCCGTTGACCAGGTAGGTCAGTCGATTAGGGCGATAGTGTACAACAATCAGATGTCCATGGTATTTTTGTTAATGATTTTTTGTTTATTTTTAACTTTATTATTTTTGTTTTTGTAAAAGTCCAGTAAGTTATTGTTTGCTTTCAGAAATTACATATCAATACTATAATCTTCCACGTTGTTAAAGCGTAGATATTTAGGTAAACGATTAACATAACAACAAATGTGAGTGGATGTTCCAGATGGTTGATCTATTATAAACACCAGGTCAATTTGTACATTTTACTTTCCATGTAGGTACAGTAGAATGTTCAACTAATAACATCATAAATACATACAGACATATTACGATATCCCGGTAAAGTAGGAATGGGCTAATGTCAGGCATGACACAGATAGTTAGGTATAATAATGGCCTGCCAGTTACTGTGAAATTAGACATTTTCGTTGGGCCCATTTTTCGTTGTTTCCATTTCGTGGGTACGTGAATTGGTAGATTACGAGTACCCTCTCAAGCGGAGAATAGCTTCATATCAAACTTGTAGTTACTTCGTGGAACTATGAATCGCTGGATGAAGATTACCCACGAATTTACGACATTAAGACCCCAACAATTTGTATGATTTCAAAGTATTTCTATTGACCCGGCAAATACTTTTGGTCACATGAATAGTATCACGTTGTTATGTGGTAATTTTGGTCACATGAATAGTATAACCTTGTTATGTGGTAATTCGGTCAGCTTCGCATTCTAACCTTGGAACTGTATCAACCTCCTCATTTTTCTAAAAATAAATAACAGAACGCGATACTTTATTCTATGTCATTGATACGTTTAAGTTTCTTTTTTTACTATTCTTACAATCAATAGAATATTCAAACTTCTTTGTGAAACATTTTATTCGGCTTATTTTCGGCGAAGATGTACGAAATCCACGTGGAGCCTGGTTTAGGTTCATACTGAATATAACACAGCATTACGATACCTTTGTAGCTTTATGAATAAATATATATGTCTTGCGTTTACTAGGTAGGTCGATAGTCTACCGTGAGTATTGATACATAACCACAAAGCGGCAGTACCAGAAAGGATCCCTTTTCTCCTAAACGCTGACTGGGGAATACGTTCATGTACATCACTTTTATTTGAAACGCTAGCCGACCCGAAATAGTTATGACAGCTTGGAGATTAGAAAATATATGACAGAATGTCTGTGACTGAGAAATAATAGACGCTGTTAAAGGCGTTCTGATGATTTTGGCCGTCACGAAAGAAATATGTAACCACCTGTACAGAATTGCTTTCTGTGGTTATATAAACGACCTGGCCACATAGATATCAGATATGCTCACTCGGACTTGTCTACTTTGTCTTAAATATATAAAAACAAATTGAATCGTCAAAAAGAAACGTCTCGATATTTATATTTAAAGAATACATCAGCGTGTCAGTAACTAGACAGAAAATCATACTAGATACTAAGCTGGGAATCACGTGACTTCTTATCAAAGTAGGTCATCCCCAGAGAAGGTAATGAGGTCGGTGATCCATTAAAGACAAATTGTAATGTTTCACTTTCATTGTGTCGATAAGGGAAGTTTTGAAAGCTTCATGAAATACATGTAATATCCATGCGTAAATAGCAGGAACCAGCTGTTTCGTCAATGTACTGTTTAAAAAATTGTAATTTTGCATGTAATCTACTGGAACTCGTGCAGGATCCTAAACAAATAAAATACTGTTTGGAAGGTTTAATATCAAGAAATTATCGTGTTTTGATATATAAGAAAAGGAACATTTGCATTCATCAATGATTAAGCTAATTACCTTTTGAACAACTGGGCCCTGGTCCTGATAGTAGAACACCTTCAATCATTTGTAGTATATATCTACCACCATCCGGAACCTAACCAAGATGTGATAAATGTTACATATGTAGTATCTGTTAGATTAGAAAGTCATTACAAATATATGGTAGTCAATTTTAAGTTGTTGTTTCATCACACCCATATCACACATCCCTCCGACAAGCTATTTTCCCTAACTAATGTATTGCTGGACAAAATCAGTTGAATTTTGACAGAAAACTTTATCATTTTTAACCTTGTTGAAATATCCTCTTATACCAGGTACAAGACAGCGATATTAAAACAATCAAATATTTTAGTGTTCTGTCCGTGTTAAGCTATTGAATATTTATGTTGCGTGTGGTGATATGAAAACATAAAAGTTTGTGTTGAGTATTGTCCGTTGGTGGAGCCCAAGGCGCCTTAACTTTTGCAGGCCCATAAACAAATAAACATTCACACATAAACATATAAATACATGTGTATATACATATATTAACTGGCTGTACGCATAAATGTATTTTAATCTGGCATAAATGTATTTTAATCTGGCTAAATATAAATATGTACTGTTTTTGACCTACACAAAGTGTGAACGTATTTACACCTCAGGCGTTCGGAAGGAGATAAAATAAAAATAAAAATCTTTCGATACATGTTTACTTTTGGTGATAGTTTTATTTCATGAGAGAAGTGTTTTCGATTCAAATAAAAAAAAGTATCTCTGTTACATGCATATATGGTAAACAATACAAGTAGATAACTAATTTTTGATTGCAATGTGTTTACATTAAAATAAGGAATCAAGACTTAGTCATTACCTATGAAATTATAACATTTATCTCAATGTTTTAGTAACGGATACGAATTGGCAAAAAAAGCAACTGATTTATGAATACTTTGGTAAACCACCCCATATTTACACGTGGGTAGGGATTCATCAGTCACCTTAAACGTTTCTTATCGACACTTTGCATGTGAGATAAACGACCTGTCATAACTTGAGAGCTAAATCTAGAACATTATTACGAGGTGTTATAGTCTTCCGCTATTTTTCGGGGTAGCTATCATAACGAATCACGAAAAGACAGCTACAGTACCGATGACACACTGAAACAAAACAAATGAAATGAGGAAACAAAATACATGACGGCGAAACCAGGTGTTTCCGTAACTTAAGTAGTAGCCGTTCTGATTGCGTCACACAAAAATGAAATATAAAACTCGCCAGGGAGCAGTTGCCATTTGATTGAACGTAATAATTTAAATACAAGTGGTAAAATCTAGCATCTAAATTTATGTTACCTTACCTGCATCGAATAGTTAAATGGGTGTATGCCGTCGTTTTGCGTCCGTCGTCCAGGAATTTACTTTTCTTTTAAATCAATCACTTTTAGTCAATAACAGATCAAATAGTTTTGTCTGAATGTCACTGTCGGAAGAAGGGGCAGATTAAAAAGGATGAAAAGGGTATAATTGGATTTTAAGACTAATCCTGATTTAAAGATGAAGGTGTTTTGGCTGATTTGACATACATCATTCATGGGCCAAGTGATTTCAACGTCTAATAAATGAAAAGTGTTGCTCTATGTAGGAGATTAAAGAAATGGGGAAAAAACATTTGAATTCCAAGATGTCTGCCACGGCATATGGCTCTGGTAGGAAACTCGCTACATTTTCTCAATTTCTAAAAGCCAATTTCAGTAAAACATTATATAAATACTCCTTCCATAGCCCTGTTTTATTTCATACCAATAACCTATCAAAGAGGACGAGTTGTTTTCTAATTGCCTTAGATATTTTTAACTTCAATGTAATTTCCGGCAGGCCAGAGGTAGCCAAACCTAATAAAACAAAACAAAAAGTCCAATTATACATTGTCCTTGAAGAAGGGACAACGTTTCTTTGTTTCACCAAGTTTAATAATGTTTCACGAGGGCGAATAGTCGAGGAGAAACAAAGAATCGTGATTCGTACTCCAAGGGCGATACATATTTCATTTACCGAAAAATAAGTAAATTGAACAAAAACAATTAAATAATAAAGAGATGATCAGATTGTAGCGCCATGTTTGTCTTCTGCGCCGTCTTTAAGAGCTACATGTAGGTTGTGGTAGTTCGAACCGATTTTTATAAAACGGCTACGAATAAGATAAATAGGACCGGGTAACTTTGAACGCGTGAGGCCGATACGTTATTTTACTACCCCGTCATGTGATCAGTATCATCCAACCAAACACCCTGTTATAATGATATCTTTCTCTCTTTTGTTGAAACGAATTGTTACCCTGTCTTTTGATTTTTCTATGTGCCACTGTCAGTCCGAATCTGACGATGAACACCTGGTTCTTTTATTTCTCTTATCAAGTAGAGGTTTCCTGAACTATGTAAATTAATTTCCTCTTTTCTGAATTACCATCAACCAAACATCGGTCAATACAGCCAAAGCCATGTCACGTGGTCCTCTGGATACAGTGTTCAGTAATTTATATCATATATACTATTTAACATGCCAGGGTGTATACAGACACATTGTGGGTGTTTTCGTGTTTTTATATATGATATTACCAACTCTCGTTTGTACCGTTGGGGGTAGTGGGAACGTTTCTCCTGTTGTAATAGATAGTTTCCTCAATTTTGTGCGGTACCCTAGAAGCTTTAAGAAATACACTTTACAGACGTGAATTTAAATCTGTGTATCCTTCCGAGCACTCGCCGTCTCCTTGATACAGATTACATACTTCTCTCAGCTGATTATGTGTTTAAACCGACAGTCAGCTTTATCATACATATCTCTTTTTATAGCCGTAGAGTAGCTATTTCACTAAAATACAAGAAAGAACAGGATGAAAGTGAAACACCAAGTTGCAGTCGCCAGGATTAACAGTTTTTTCAAGATTTTCATCTCTTCCAAAATTGACAAATAAATTTCGTTTTGGCTTGAAAAGTCCCTCCAACCCGAAAAAAGGAGATTGGATGGATGTGCCAGCAGTGAGTTTATAAAAGTCATTAAGACAGAAGTTAAAATACAAATATAGAAATCAATACTTACATGTAATAGATGCACGTCAAAAACATGGCCATTTCGTTATTTACCATGTCTCGCGCAGACTCAGCTGTCGAGTTTGGATTATTCTTCAATACAATTATATTTGAATACTTTAGTTTTATGGCTTCAATGAACATTGGATCGATAAAAGCACGATTACTGACACTTTGTGTAGACGAGAGTGAATGAGTTCTGAGATATAACCCAGTAAAACGTAACTGTCGTCACGTGACATTGACAGTCTGGTGAAACATGTATTCTAGGTCACTATATTGTACAATATTCTACACATCAATAACGAATCAGAACAATAATACGGTTGGGCAACCTAAAACCTATTTTGGCAAAATGTCAAAAAATTTGGAGGTAAATATGTTTTTCAAAACTCGAAAAAAAGAAGCGATTTCAGTCAAAATATCTGAAATCAGACGAACGCCTAAATGATTTGCATTTTTCGGGCTTGTATTGTATTTAACCTATTCTACAGGTACATACTCCGGCTGCGGAAACTCATGGACAGCAGCGGAGAAAGAATTTACTGTCGATCCACTCTCAGATGAAGTGTATCATCCATGGGAAGTTCGGATGCAACCATCGATCACGTGGGATGCCGAGGCGGGGAAACTGTACACACTGATTGTCTACGACGTAGGTTCTCATATACATCACGGTGTGTTCATCAACATCGAGGGAGGCGACCTGTCCAATGCCGAGGTACGTTATGTAACCTTCTCTACGTGTAGTTTACCTATCCTTTACAGATATTACATCAGCTGCTTTTAATCAAGCTAATCCGTATATTTTAATTTTAGTCATAGTTAACATTAAATTCCATTGTTATTTTAGTGATTATACCACTGAAGATCATTTTTAGCTCACCTGGCCCGAAGGTGAGCGATGCAGGCCCATTGGGCCTCTTGTTTAAATTTTGTTTTTGGTTAAAGTTTTAATGATATTTATGAAAAAAATATTTTATTGTGTAGAAATGTTTAGAAAATGTTGTTAACAGGCGATTGTGGCGTATCGGGGGCCTTTGACTGCTGCGGAGAAAGCCAACGTGTACACGTTCTGGCTGTACGAGCAGGCTGGGCACGTCAACTTGACCGATGATTGGCGTACAAAACTAACCACTTCCTTTGCTGCCTACAACATGTCTGACCTCAGACAAGACCTCCAACTCACAGGTAAGATTTTGTATATTGAAGTAAAAAAAAAAAAAAAATGTACCACATAGCTAACACAGGAATACTTAAGAGGAACGAAAGCGCGAGCCTCGGGGGTAATACATTACCATTTGATGGGATCCCATTGTGTATTGCCGCTTTCTGAACGGTCGACAGTTGAACCACCTGTCACTGTAGTAACGTCATGTTATCATTGGCTCAAATTTGAACTGTTTCTTTTTTTGAATTTAAAATGTCATCATTTTCAATTTATAAAAAATGTACGTCATAGAATTTTCCCGGTGCTTTATACAATAATGTAAAAAATAATGATCATTAGTATCTTTATTTGCTCATCGGCGACGAATCAATTGTTTGTATGCCTTATTGTGGCTGTCCCCGTCTTTTCGCTGTCATTCTTTCCTGCCCTTAAGAATATGCGTAATTTGTTGAACATGATACAGATATTCCCTACCAGTATAGCTCAAACGAGTTCGCACTTAGGAATTGTACGTGAATTTTGAATATGGTTATGACTCTTTGTTCAATTTGTATATCATGTATATTCTGCAGCATAGATGCTTTGCTATTTTACTTGCAATCGACAAACTTGCATTTGTTTCGTTAGAGGGCTGGGTGGTGCATAACTAATTCAAGTCTTCTGTCCCAAATACACTGAATTATTGTCCTTCTTTCTCTCTTTTCTTTGTTTATTTTTTTAACGTTATTTCCTCCCTTAGGTTAAGCTGGTCGATAACATCCTTGTTACTTGACCTATATCGCCAATCCATTTATGCAAGTACATTTATCTACATAAATGTCGAAAAGATTGGCTGTCAAATGCTGAGTTTAGATATTTTTTTTTCACTGAATCCAAACTTATTTTAAAATATAAAAACTTATTAAATTTTTTTTTTTTGTCTAACGTAAGTTTGTCCGTAGCACAACTTTTTTGCACATTGACACCAACATTCATCAAACATTTTATACATAAACACTTAAGTATGGTATATGCCACCCTTTATGCAGAATCATGACTCATTGTCCTTGGTGTTACGAATATGTGCCAAGAAAGAAAATCCTAAAATAAGCGTTTAAAAAAAGTGATGTAGTGTCGATGTTGTATTTCTTTCGTAACATTTCAATAACTTGGATATTTAATTGCAAGATTTATTAGTGGATCTCAATGTATCAACAACTTCTTGGATGTATTAGTTACTAACTCTATCTTGTAAAACTCCCCCGAGGTTACGACCACGTGATTAAAGTAATGCTAAAGCACATTAATAGTGCAGTCTAAATGATACTCGGTGGCGATGTAAATAGTGTTCCATTTTAATAGTCCTCTTCTCAAGGTGATATAGGGGCATAGAGAGTTGACATAGTTTGAAAGGATTTGCTTTGCAATTCGAGACAGTCAAAAATAGTACAAATAGTTTTCTGGCATTCTCAATGGGTTTTTTTTATAGTTAAAGATGCTTTAGAAAGTCGAGAAATAAAGAATAGGTGTTGTACTCCTTGGTGTTGGGAGACTAACCCTAATTTGCAATATTAATTTTAATGAGAATATTTTCCCATTAAAGCATAAATAACCAGCCTAGCGATAACAGATCAGCTGGGCCTCTTGTTAAGATATTGCATGTTTAACGTCCCTCTTCATCCGTTTGTGTTGACAAATTTGCGAAAGCTTGGTTTTTAGCTCACCTGGCCCGAGGGGCCAAGTGAGCTTATGCCATGGTGCAGCGTCCGTTGTCTGTCGTCCGTCGTTCGTCGTCCGGCGTCAATATTTTACTTTAAACAACTTCTACTTCATAACCAAAAGGCCTAGGGTGATGATATTTGGCCAGAAGCAAACCAGGATGAACGGCTACCAAGTTTGTTCAAATAAATGACCTTCACCTATTTTCAAGGTCACAGGGGTCAATTGTCTTAAAAAATCTTTATACAACTTCTTCTGAATAACTTAGAGGCCTAGGCTAATGATATTTGGCCAGTAACATGCTAGAATGAAGGGCTACCAAGTTTATTCAAATGAATAACCTTTACTTATATTCAAGGTCACAGGGGTCAAATATGTTAAAAACCTTTAAACAACTTCTTCTCAATAACCAAAAGGCCTAGGATGATGCTATTTGGCCAGTCGCATGCTGTGATAAAGGGCTACCAAGTCTGTTCGAATGAATGACCTTGACTTATATTCAAGGTCACAGGGGTAAAATATGTTTAAAACCTTTAAACAACTTCTTCCGTATAACCAAGAGACTTAGGATAATGATATTTGGCCAGTAACATGCCAGGATGAAGAGCAACCAAGTTTGTTCAAATGAATGACCTTTACTTATTTTCAAGGTCACAGGGGTCAAATATGTTTAAAACCTTTAAACAACTTCTTCTCAATAACCGAAAGTCTTAGGATGATGATATTTAGCCAGTAGCATGCTGGGATAAAGGGCAACCACGTTTATTCAAATGAATGATCTTTACTAATATTCAAGGTCACTAGGGTCAAATATGTTTAAAACTTTTATACAACTTCTTCTGAATAACCAAGAGGCCTAGGATAATGATATTTGGCCAGTAGCATTATGGGATAAAGGGCTATCAAGTTTGTTCAAATGAATGACCTTTACATATATTCAAGGTCACAGGGGTCAAATATGTTTATAACCTTTAAACGACTTCATCTAAATTAGCCAAAGGCCAAGGGTGATGATATTTGGTCATTAACAGGCTGGGATGAAGGGCTACCAATTTTGTCAAAATGAATGACCTTCGCCCATATTCAAGGTCACAGTGGTCAATATATGTTTAAATCTTTAAATGACTTGTTCTGTATAACCAATAGATCCAGGGTTATGATATTTTGCCAAAAGCATGCTTGGTTGGAAGACTTTAAACTCTGTTCAACCTAATGTCCTTTTTCTACATTCAAGGTCACAGGCGTCATATGTTTAAATCTTTTAATAGGCTCTTATGAGTCAAACACTGATATTCTTCCTGTAGCTNGATACAATGGTGAAAGTGTCAATTGTATTATGGTATTATTTCGGTATAAGATAGAGCAATTATGTGTGAGTAGAGCGTAAAATTATGAAATTGCAATGCAAAATTGCGAAATATTCGTGTAAATGATGTTAAAATTGTACTATTGATGTATATGATGATGTTTTGATGCTTATCGCTGTAATATTGGTGTAATATTTTGAGTAATAATATTTTTTCCTGATATGACAAAAGAAGATTTCTGACATTGTATGGTTTACGCCAAGTGCCCGATTTTATTTGCATATATCTTCAATTTCCAATGTTCTTTCACATTTATGTCCAAAGTATACATATGGTCCAATTTACATTGTACGTATACGCCCATTGTATGAGTGACATTTCTCTTGTCAATTCTCTACAATTCTTCGTGTAGTGAGACCAATGAATAGACGTTCGCTGAGTGTTTGTTTGTTTATATTTATCAATCTCTAGGTACTTAAAGGTCTACTTGAGATATCTTTATTAATGCAGTTTAAGAAATTAACGAGATTTCCATTTAAACTTTATTAATATTATAACCAACCATATATCGTTATTTTCATTAAAACACTTACCATTTCATTTCTGCAGAACACATTATTTCAGTTTTAGATCGGGAAGTGAAACTCATTGATACAAACAGACAATGCAATAGCAGTGTCGAAAAGAACAACTGATGTTACCTAATGTTAATATGTATTCGCCAATGAAAACGTGTCCGTGATAAAGTATCCGATTTTTGCAGGGCCTGTGGGACTGAACTGGCTCCTGGCATCCGCTGATGGGTACTCCATAGGGACCTTCTTGGCTAGGCGCATCCTGAACAACTGCCCTTTACTGTACACACGAGGTAAACAACATAGTGCACTACACAAGTAATGGTGTTCTCTACTACACAAGTAATGGTGTTATCTACAACACAAGTAATGGTGTTCTCTACTACACAAGTAATGGTGGTATCTACAACACAAGTAATGGTGTTCTCTACTACAAAAGTAATGGTGTTATCTACAACACAAGTAATGGTGCTCTCTACTGCACAAGTAATGGTGTTATCTACAACACAAGTAATGGTGCTCTCTACTGCACAAGTAATGGTGTTATCTACAACACAAGTAATGGTGTTCTCTACTACACAAGTAATGGTGTTCTCTACTACACAAGTAATGTAGTTCTCTATTACACAAGCAATGATGTTCTCTACTACACAAGTAATGGTGTTCTCTACTACACAAGTAATGATGTTCTCTGCCACATTATTATTACTAGTGTTATCTAATTTACAAGTTATAACTTTCTGTTCCACATACATTATAGTGTTCTCTACTTACTTCACACTTTAAATGAGAAATAGTGGTTGCTACTGCACAGTTAATAGTGTTCTACTACAGAAGTAAGATTTTGCTCTACTTCTCAAGTATCAATGTTCTTCACTAAACAAATAATTATGTTATCTACTACATAAGTAACATTATTCGTTACCACAAAAGTTACAATGTTGTCTAATAAACAAGTTATATTGTTATCTACTACATAAATAACAGTGTTATCTACTTTTCGTAAATTGTTTGATACAAATGGATCTTTAGCTTATTACCCAAAGTACATTATACTATTGTATGTATACACTTGCGACCTTGATAATTGTCTGACAGTTAGAAGTAGATACATTTTGGATTATGATTTTTGTGTCTATATACAGCACTGTGGAAGGAGAACCGGTTTTTCGCCAAGCGTGACCTGACACATCTCCAGGCAACTTTAAGCATAACCTACAACACCCCGTCTCTAGCGTTCCCTTCCTGTTGTACAGACTACACATACAGGTAAAAACCCGTCTCTAGAGTTTATGTCCTGTTGTACAGGCTACACATACAGCTAAAAACCCGTCTCTAGAGCTTATGTCCTGTTGTACAGACTACACATACAGGTAAAAACCCGTCTCTACAGCTTATGTCCTGTTGTACAGACTACACATACAGGTAAAAACACGTCTCTAGAGCTTATGTCCTGTTGTACAGGCTACACATACAGGTAAAACCCCGTCTCTAGAGCTTATGTCCTGTTGTACAGACTACACATACAGGTAAAAACACGTCTCTAGAGCGTATGTCCTGTTGTACAGGCTACACATACATGTACAGGTAAAAACCCGTCTCTAGAGCTTATGTCCTGTTGTACAGGCTACACATACAGGTAAAAACCCGTCTCTTCAGGTTATACAGACTACACATACAGGTAAAAACCCGTCTCTTCAAGTTGTACAGACTACAAATACAGGTAAAAACCCGTCTCTTCAGGTTGTACAGACTACACATACAGTTAAACCCTCATGTCTTCAAGTTGTACAGACTACACATACAGGTAAAAACTCATCTCTAGAGAATACGTCCTGTTGTACAGGCTACAAATACAGGTAAAAACTAGTCTCTAGAGCTTACGTCCTGTTGTACAGGCTACAAATACAGGTAAAAACTCGTCTCTAGCGCTTACGTCCCGTTGTACAGGCTACACATAAAAGTAATAAACCGTTTCTAGTGTGTACGTCCCGTTGTGCAGGCTACACGAACAAGAACAGTAGTGTATACGTATGTAACCTAGATTGTGCTTTTCTTAGTACCATTTTCCGTTGTGCCAATTCACTGGTGATAAGAAAAGGAGTAAAATACTCAGAACTGAGCAAAATAAAATGTTTAGGGGTAAAATAAAACGTCTAGGAGTAAAATAACCTGGAAAGGAGTAAAATTTTACCCCATACGTTTTATTTTACCTCTATCCGGGTTATTTTACCTCCTTGACAAGTTAAAGTACTCCTAGATTATTATTATACCCCCATGACGAGTTAAAGTACTCCTATTTAAGTTATTTTACCCCTCTGACGAGTTAAAGTACTCCTAGATTATTATTTTACCCCCCTGATAAGTTAAAGTACTCCTATCCGGTTTATTTTACCCCCCTGACGAGTTATAGTACTCCCCGATTATTATTTTACCCGTAGACGTTTTATTTTACTCATTGGACTTTTAAAGTACTCGTGGCTTTTTATTTTACTCGTGGCTTTTTATTTTACCCCCTTTATTTACCTGTGCTCCACGGCAACAGGATCTGCGCTGGCGGTTAGCTAGGCCTTTGATCTAACCGGGTAGTAGCCTGTCGACCACTTCGAGCTGCCGCGGGCGGTGTCAAGCATCACCAGGTAGCTCTGTTCATGTGTGAACACTTGTCAGTCGACAGCTCGCCTCATAATTAACAACGTGTCTGTGCTTTGTTCACCTATGTTTATTTGGTGTAATCAGAATAAAACTATGGAACTGTGCCGTGTTTGTAATTTACTTCAACTTGAAACTGGTGTTTTGGAATACGTGTTTGATACATACTCGATTTATGTCAAATTAAACTTTGAAAATGTGCCGTGTTTGTTACATACTCGAACAGCGCCGTTGAAATACATGTTTAAAACTATGGAATTGAGCCGTGTTTGTAATTTACTTCGACCTGGTGTTTTGAAATACGTGTCTGTAACATAATCGAACTGTGCCGTTAAAATACATGTGTATACACTCCATTAATATGTCAAATAAAACTATGGAATTGTGCCGTGTTTGTAATATACTTCGGCCGTGTCTGTTGAAATATGTTTGCTTATTACTCGATTTGTAATAAAAATATATTTAAATACATTTATCGTGTTTGTACTTTATTCGGCCTGATGATCTAAAATACGTGTTTATTAAACACTCGATTAATATGTCAAATTAAAACTATAAAACTGTGCCGTGTTTGTAATTTACTTCGACCTGGTGTTTTGAGATACGTGTTTGTTACATACTCGAACTGTGCCGTTGAAATAATACACTCAACAAATATGTCAAATAAAACTATGGAATTGTGCCGTGTTTGTAATTGATATCGGCCTGGTGTTTTGAAATACATGTTTGATGTTTTATACACTTACTATGTCAAAATAAAACTATAGAAACTGACGTGTTTGTAATTTACTCCGGCCTGGTGTTTTGAAATACGTGTTTATAACACACTCGAACTGTGCCGTTGAAATAATACACTCCATTAATATGTTAAATTAAAACTATAAAACTGTGCCGTGTTTATAATTTATTTCGACCTGGTGTTTTGAGATACGTGTTTGTTACATACTCGAACTGTGCCGTGTTTGTAAATTACTTCGACCTTGTGTTTTAAAATTTACGTGTTTGTAACATACTCGAACTGTGCCGTGTTTGTAATTAACTCCGACCTGGTGTTTTGAAATACGTGTTTATAACACACTCGAAATGTGCCGTTGAAATAATACACTCAATTAATATGTCAAATAAAACAATGGAATTGTGCCGTGTTTGTAATTGATATCGGCCTGGTGTTTTGAAATACATGTTATATACATTCCCGATTAATATGTCAAATTAAACTATAGAAACTGCCGTGTTTGCAATTTACTCCGACTTGGTGTTTTGAAATTCGTGTTTTAAACACTTGATTAATGTGTCAAAATAATACTGTGCCGCGTTTGTAATTTACTTCGACCTGGTGTTTTGAAATACGTGTTTATAACACACTCGAACTGTGTCATTGAAATAATACACTCCATTAATATGTCAAATTAAAACTATAAAACTGTGCCGTGTTTGTTATTTTTATCGACCTGGTGTTTTGAAATACATGTTTGTTATGTGTAACCACTCTGACACGCCCCCTTTACATATTTATATATTATTTGCAAAACAGTGTAAGTTATGACAGCAACCAATATATGTTGTATGGGTTAAGTCATCAATAGACAAAAAAAGAAGACATCAATCCTTAGAAAGAGAAGTTATACCTCCAAGACTGAATAACGGATATCGTATTCCGTGCCTGCATTAACTACATTCAATGTACACTATAACTTTTAGCTAAGGTATAGTAATATACAGTTGACACACCTAAATATCTTACCTGTGAATTAAAAGGTATGTTAATTACCTGTAGTTCTTACCACTTTATATTATAGCCAAAGGGCATTTACGATACCTACCTGTGAGTTAACAGGTGAACTAATTACCTCGGAGGTGTTACCTGTGAATGTCGTGGCCAAAGGGCATTTATAACCGATCCTCCAAGTAACACAGGTAGTATGGTGTACCGTCGCGTTTCTTTTTATTTCCAGTTATGGAAGAAAACATGTTTTTGAAAGTATTAAAGTAAATCTAATAAGGTAAAAATGTATGTGTATCATCACAGATTTATATTCGATCTAAGTCCGTGGTATCATATAGTCCAGGGCTCGCGCTGGCGATCGACACTGGCGAAAGTAAAACGTGATTGGCGATTTGAAACTGCTCTTGGCGAAAATGTCGATGTGGGGCTTTTGTTTAAATTACTGTCGACAATAGAAAAAACCGTTGGCGATAACTGTTTCTAGAGCAACTGTTACAGGTAAATTTAGCCCCCGGACACCGCTTGTGTACTACGTTTACGATGTCACGGCTGAATGCATTTCCGATGCAAGGTCATGTATTTGAACTCACCTGAGTTTTCACAAGGTCACCTGGAAACACAATGACTCCCGTCTAATATCAAAATTGCCTATTATCCAATTATAGCGATATTGTCTTATTCCGAGGGTTGCTCTGTGGAGAACAATAAGGTAAGCTAGGGTCGGGAAAGGGTTGTTTTAATTGGATTTGATTTACTGCAGGAAATCGCGTGAAGTGATGCGAGGCAATAACGAGGCACGGTCATTTGTGTGTGCTTATATTGGGACGCAAGCGGGATATTTTTCATGACTTTCTTTTTAATTTTGTTTAGCAGCAACAGGTATATAATTGCCAGGGTACATACAATTTAGTTGATATTTTGGTGCGTGGTTCTATCACGGTTTCTAATCTAATTCCGAGGTTCTATAAATAAAACGCGAAATACCATCAGGGTAACGTAGGCCCTAAACCGGCGTGACTGTACCCTGAAAGGGACATTTCGGTATTTTGGCTAATATTTGGGGATAAACGATCAATATAAGCAGAAAAGAAGACATATTTCAAATACTATAGAGTCAAACAGGGCATTTACGATACCTACCTGTGAGTTAACAGGTGAACTAATTACCTCAGAGGTGTTACCTGTGAATGTCGTGGCCAAAGGGCATTTACAACCGATCCTCCAACTAACACAGGTAGTATGGTGTACCGGTGCGTTTCTTTTTGTTTCCAGTGTTGGAAGAAAACATTTACGAATTCAAAACGAATTAGAGTAGATCTAAGTCCGTGGTATAATATACGATATTAGTTTTTTTTTATAAAAAATCTGAATTCTACAGTAAAGTTATTTTTGTAGTAATGGTAGTGATGATATGACATTGCTTCATGGGTATTAAATATACATGTAAACATATAGGAGGAACAAATGCAATCGGAGACTTATATATTACATATGTACGTCTCTGATGCAATTTATCAGCAGATTTTAGAACACTACAGTACATTGCAAATATATGAATCTTTAAACTAGCGCTAACGTCATATTATTTTGTTTTAAATCACTCTATCAGAGACGTATATATTACAGAGATTGTAAAATATACGTCTCTGTAATATATACGTCTCTGATTCTGTGTAGCCAGAGAAGTATATACTATATGTCTCTAGTGTAACCGTTAAGCTAAATGCATATCTTATATAAACGTCGTACGTCCCTGCCATAATAGAACCGCCCTCCGATGTAATTTTTAACGTATATATCGATTCGGTCTTCGTCCTGTCTTCAACCTTATTATATATACATTTACAATTAACAAACACGGCACAGTTCGAGTATGTTACAAACACGTACA